TGTCTATTTAACCATAACCTGTAAGAGAATCTTAACACAATATTGACTGCACCTTATTTAAATACGCCATTTTGGGGGGAAATCTTCAAGTAATACGCATGGCGAATTCTAATAGCAGAATATAGTATCTGAGAACTATCCCTTAAAGTCTCTCAGTGTTGAAGCAACAGCCTAGTGTCCAAGAGATTTGCATTTAAAAAATTTTAAAAGCTACTGAAAAAAAAATCATTGACCTTTCATCATTTTCTTCTCCTTTCTTTTTCTAGTTTTTATAATTGAATGTATAAATATTTGGCATACTTATAATACCTCAACTTTTATTCTGTCCAACTTAAAAACAAGTTAATCAAGTGCACATTCCATTATTCTCCTAGGAAGAACACATACCAAATCACAATACTGCTTGTGATCACCCCAGTCAGAAGCCAGCCTCAGAGTCATACATCAGGAACCTCTTCGGGAGCCAATACCCAATTACAACTATGCTACACACTCTGCTCCTCACAGCTCAGGCTGGAATGTTTAATTGTTTAAATCTGTTTCTAATATTCATTGGAATTACAGAGCATTCCAAAAATGCTCTGAAAGCCACAAATGAGCAGATTCTGAAACTACTATATCTTTCATAAAAATGTCTCCCTTACTTTAGAGATGTTCTGAGAAAAGTAGCAAGAAATTATTTAATATTTTACCATCACCACTTTTAAGATACTGGAGAGCAACCAAGATTTAGGGGGAAATAAACAATTCAAACCAGGTAATACTGGATACACCAAATAGAAACTGATTGCAGAAGACTACAGCAGTTCTCTCTCGTTCAGCAGCCTACGAAGACAGCTGCATTTATTACTGTGCCTTGCACAAAAAGCTACTTAAACTTTTCACATCCCCTATCTTCAGACCAATCTACATGAACAAGTTTCATTACATGTTACTAATGCCAAACGAAATAAGCCTGAAAATTCATATCCCATGAAGTAATTTTTCAGTTTCAAACATATATTACTCTAAAAATATACTCCTCAGTGAAAGATGACAACTGTCTCCTTTCTGAAAGCTCAATTATTTTGATAGATCAATAAATGACAATTTATTGAGCACCTACTATGACTGCATTGTTTACTCTCATTCTTTAACCAATAAGAAAAAAAGACCTACTTCAAATGCCAGATGATATTTGTGAGGGAAGATAATGTATGACCACTTTTTATTGAATGCTGTATGAGTCAACATCTGGACATGTAAAATTGTTCATCCCTTTGACATTAAGAAACTTCAATTTATTATTGATTACTTTATAAAGACAAAAATAACCATCTGAAGTATGGTGCATAGTACTTTAAGGAAAGTGACTGATAATCATGGTTTGTGAGCAACCAAAGACTTAATAGCATTTACATTAATATCTGATTAATTCAGGCAAATGGGTACTTGTGTTAGGGTTCCAATTTTGCTTGAGGGAGTTGGTCTAATAAAAAAAAAAAGCCTTTAAACAGGAGCACTGTAAGCAAATATGAAAATAAAAATCCTTAGATAAAATTCTTTGTAAAACCACAATATAAATTCAAGTTCTGAATCTGATTAAAATGTACATACATATATATGTATACACACATACACATATGCTTTAAAAGTACCTAAATTTCACTTACTATCTTTGCCTTGCATATTTGAACTTGATTATGTATCTTATGCACTTTATTTCTCCTAAAACTAAGAATATGGACAATGGTGAGAAGACAGAGATAAGCTAGTTTCAATTTTCTGGCCTTTAACAATTCTGACCTGTTGTATTCCTACAAGGAGCATTATGCAATGTATTGAACATGTACAAAAAACACCCTTTTAGGGAACCTGAAGTTTTAAGAAGCAAAATAGTTGTCAGTTAGTTTGAAAACAGTAATCATTTTCTTCAGTAGGATTTCCAAAAACTGAAAATGTCACTGAAACACCCCTATCTCTGTCAAACATGAAAAATAATTGTTTCCAGACAAGACACGTGGAGAACATTCCTAATAGAGCCTTAGGGACTGAAGTAGCACGATGAACAATGAGGCAGTCACGAAGCATCTATGTGCTACTGCACTGGTAGTGGTTCATAAAAAAATACTATGTACACTACAGTTTTAAGAACTAGTAATATATTTAGCATATTTTTGCCTTTTCTTATTTGCCACTGAATATAAAATTTTGTCCTAAATTTACTAAATCTTCTACACCCTGAGGAATACTAACAGACTAATTTAAAAAAAAAAAAAATGCCAGGGTCAGTTTTGTGGAACATATTATTGCTCCAAAGCACAAACTATATATATAGCTTATATTCTTGTAAGCACAAGGTTTCATGAGCATATGAAACTGCTGCTTTCTCTCTCTCTAGCATATGAAACTGCTGCTTTCTCTCTCTCTCTCTCTCTCTCTCTCTCTCTCTCTCTCTCTCTCTCTCTCTCTCTCTCTCTCGTTTTTTCCTACCAAAGAGTTTGGTTTTACAGCGTTAACATGCCGGGAGAGTTGGGAGCTGAAGGCTACCCCAACCCCAGATCCCAAAAGATACAATGGTTTTCTGTCTCAACTATGAACATGACATATATTACTGGAATATGTTATTCAACAGTCCTCTGAAAAGCACTTTGGAATCCTTAGCTATTTATTTTTATAAAATTACAATTAAAAATTATTTGCTATTTTGAAATATGGAATTCCCATCCCTCCCCTTTACATACCCAAAGTACATAAAATGCCACATGTGAAATTTCATCTCAGTATTTGCTTCTTTTCCTCTAATATTTGAAAGGATAAAGTTCCCATTAATTTTCCTTCCAACTATCTTAACATAGGCCTGGATTTGAGAGGTAATTCTTGGAAGTCCTTAAAGTGAGGCAAAATATTCATTTAGGACAATCATACTGCATTTCTTTCAGCGGAAGGAGCCAGTTTCCCTTTGAACACAGGCTGGGTGGATTCCAGGCTGATGTTTCATTATACACATGCAATACTTTACATGTGATGCCTTCAACCCCACAGAAGAATGAATTCTTAGTAGGGTGCTTAAACATAACTAATGAAATGCAAACCAAATCATCCCATCTGCTCATATCAGTATCTCATTAGATAAAATACTCCATGGGAACCATGCCTAGCAATTGGAATGAGTCACAATCAACAGTTCAATAAAACTTCTGTCCTCTGTTTTCTACCTAAACATTAGATTTAAATATAATCTTGCTCCCCACAAAAGAAAGGCACTCGAATTAACACAGTATGTATAGTTATTTTTAAAAGACACTGTGTGATATTAAGTAGAATTCTTGGGCTGATTTTCCCTGCTTACTGCCTGCATCACACTGAACTGCCCAAGATCCCTGGGCCCCAATGCACTTCATTGAACAGGAGCATGGGGCAGAGTTCCCCAAGCATGGGAAGCAGCGGCACTTCTGTAGAGTGACAGCATCTGCAGTGGTTCTATTTGAGAAATTTATTCAGAAGACAAAAAGTTCAGTTGGTACAATGCTATTCAAATTTTCTAGCATAATTTAAACATTTAAGTTTTAAAATAAAAATTTCTAGTAATAAAATAACTGTAAGCTTACAAAAACTTTATGGGAAAAGAGACTGTATGTTACTTCCTGGGTTAACTAAATCTTTAGCATCTTCTGTAATACAGGGAACTGAGGTTGAGACAGATTATTGTATAAGTGGTAGCTGCACTCCCAAATTGTACTCAGCGCCTGTGTCAGATACCATCTGTGCTATATAAAATTACTAGACTGACAACTTGTTCTCAACAATATTAAAAGTTCTCTTTATACACACAGATTCATTCTCTCTCTCTCTCTCTCTCTCTCTCTCTCTCTCTCTCTCTCTCTCTCTCTCTCTCTCTGTGTGTCTCAATAAGCATGAGCTGATATGACCTGAATATATCTACTAAATGACACAAGGTCTACCCCCATATATGTTTTCCTACAAAATGCCACATACAAATCCAAGAACTTGTTTCCACCTCTTGTTACGTAAGCCCTTATCTGAAGATTTAAGTGGCTTTTAGTGACATTCTGTATACATTTAGTCCTATCAATCATAGAGCCTTTAACTTAAAATTAGAACCGTACCATAAGAATAAAAAATGACTGAAAGTCTGTGTCCATAATTTCCAAAAAAGTAATAAAATGCTAGAACCTAGAAAAGAAAAATGGAACACAAAGTACCAAATCCTTAAATTTAAAAAATGATTTACAGAGGTTTAAGAAATATCTAAAAAGTCCACAGTTCAAGTTTGGGAGGGGAAAAGGAGAAGTACAAAATGACTATCCATTCACTGGTACAGATCAATTAGAGAATTTCTTCAGATGCCCCTAAGTGACTTCTGGCTATATTGGTAAGATTTTTCTGCAACATTGTAACAGAAAATAGTGTTCTTAATGCAAGCAGGCTTCATTAGTTTTATGATTTTTAGTATGTATTAAAGTACAATTAATTGGTAATTACAGAGCTATACTTCTTGGATGGGATTTAACAAGCTTAAACAAAACTGCTATATAAAATTAACTTATTCAATATGCAATAGCTCCACTAAAGAATCACGAAGCTAGAATATATCATTCATTCACAGCCCATTGCTTTAATCCATTAATTTCTCAATCATAACTCACCCTGTCACTCATGATCAATCTTTCCCCTCTTCAAACAGTTAGTCCTTCATTAATTGAATACATATTTAACAAACCTTCACAATGTGCAAGTAGAATTTAGAAACACCATATTATCAAAACAGGTGCACTAACGGGTGGGTTAATGGTGGTGTGAAGATATTGACAAGCTTACTGCTTCTTGCATGTCAGTGATATGCATGACCCACAGGGTATACTATTCTTACAGTAAAAGTTTGATGAAATGTATGTCAACCTAAACCATCTTTTAACAATGACATATTTATAGAAAGTAAGTGAAGACTAACATCCCAAAAAATAGATACATCCTTTCCACTGAATGAGCTCATTCAGTCAAAGAGATATTATGCGACAGCTAGTGAGTTTAGGTGTCAACCATTTAGGTAAAAAAAAAAAGCAACCATATAGGACAATATTAGGTTTTTCTGTGGATGAACATTTAAAAATAAAATTTTTAGAAACAGCACAAAAAAGTCGTTCAAACAGTACTCTCTGAATATTTGTATTTTCACTCCTCCTTAAAACTTTATTAGGAAGATGAGAGACCAAGATATTAAAGAATTGCATGGCTTCAGAAAGTGATGAGTTAAGAGACTTAATAGAGATGAAGACAGTTAACAAGATGAGCAAGATAGCACTATGAATTTTAGCTGCTGTTTCACAGATTTTTCCCCCCCTATATTCATGTCCTGAACACTCTAACATTAAAGCGTTTAGAAGCCCTACAAGTTGGGCTACTTAAAATGATGCTTAAAAAAAAGGTAATACTGAGTGAAGCCAGAATTTGGCAACATATATTAGTGGAATGAGCTGAATCTCCCATGCCATCTCTTTTGTAATTTCCCCTCAGTACCTGTAGATGTTGAAGATCACAAATTAATGGTTTATCTTTGAGGTATTTGATTCAAAATATGCCTTGCACACAAAGGGCCATGGAATTATGTTCATAATGACAATTATTTTCTCACTAAAATACTGTAAAAGCCACAAAAGGATAATTTTGCCTTCAGAGGTAAGAGCACCTTCTGTCTATAGGAACCAGGCTGGAGGATTTTTCTAGTGTTCTTAAGTCTCAACATTTTGCCACTCAACAAAATCATGATGCACAAGTAAAGGACTTATTCTTTTCTCTTACAGCAATATGTCTCATTGAATTCCAGAGTTTCCATAACAGTGATAGGAGAGGTCTGCCTTTCCCTACATCATCTCTTTGCACTATGGGTGACCTAGCTAGTAAAGGAGAACAGATAAAACATGATGGCCACAATGCTTTCTGCCACTATGACTCACATTCTTTACATACACAGGGCAAGACAGCTTCCATCACCAGAGGAACTTTTAGAGGAGCAGCTCATATTCATATTTCATGTGTGCGTGTGTTTAATGGAATATAGAATTCATTGGAAATAGGGAAGAATATCTTCAGAATATGTCCCTGAAATAACACAGGTAAGGAAAAACAGACAAAGGTGAAAGTGACTAAAAATAAGGAACAGATTGGGAAAATAAAGAGACAGGTATGTGGAAATAAGGAACACAGACCTCTTATGAATGGGAAATATAATAATATAATAACAGAAAATATAATAATGGAAAATAGACATTACCTGCTATCCCTCTAACTCCACCCTCAGCCCAACCAACCTGAAAAAAAAAAACAGCCCTTGTTATTGAAAAGGTAAGAGATAGCTATAAGGTGGATACTTTGGTATCTCATCCCTGATAAGTTTAGTATCAAAGTTTTTTAATTGTTTTATTTTTTAAAATAAAGATTAAAGAATTAACCTTCAAAATTATTCTGTCTCCCTGGCTTTTGCCAGTAAATCTTTAATAATCATTTCATAAAAATTTTGTAGTTTATCCAGTGTATCCTCAATAACTTAAGTTTTTAAAAAGGAAACTTTTTATGGATACATTTCTATGCATTATTTCTCCCATTTTTTATGGTAAATTGGAAGGAAAATAAGTAGTAATAACTAAAAATGGCATTCCAGATTTTTTTAGTTGATTTTATAAGCATTGATCTAAATGTTTTTGGCATATACCAAATTTGAGGTTAAAAACAATCTATCAAAACTAGTAATAAAAACAATTTTCCAGTACTGCAATTACATAAACTCTTAAAATTATTATTATTTTTAAAATAACCATTTTAAAAATGGATTACATTAGAAGCATGTTTTTCATCTAAGTTCCAATAGTCTGACTTTGGTTATCTTGGTCTATAACTTGTAAAACATGTTAGAGAAAGAAACGGTTTGTATATTCTCATAACCATCCATCTGGCCATTTGATTCTCAAAACAACAATTATTATAGATTGGGTAATTTTGCATTTGTATTGTTTCTAAGCTTAACTACAACATACATTTTTAATTTTTTAAAAAATTAGTCTATCCAGAGATGGGTGGAGGTGTTGAACTAGCCAGGAGAACCAAATAAGAAGCCTGGAAGGATTCTTTTAGAAATATACAAGTCTAGAAATAGAAAGGACAAGAAGTTTCAAAGAAGAAAATTAAGACTCACTGTTTAGCAGGAAGAAAGACACAATTATTTTGTCCCCAAAGGAATGCCAGTTCTTAACAAAATAAATAAGATGAAAGGTCTTGGATTTTTAACCTAAAGATGAAGAATATGTGGTTAGCTAATAGCAGACGGTTCATGCAGCTATGTAAATAAGAAAGGAAAGCAATATTGCACTAAAAGGGGAACCTTGCAGGAATAGTCCACCTTTTTCATTGACTCAACGTACCCAGCCATTTCCTATATGCATTGGCAAACCTGGCCTGCTCTACATTCCGGCAAGTGGACAACACTTGATCGATGAACCTATGTTCCATTTCCAGGCCTACGGAATGTGGAGCTGGGGTCCGCTTCAAGCGTTTTGTTTCCTGGGAATAGCCTTGCTTGCTTGAGTCACTCAATCCATCCACTTCCATTGCCTGAGCTGTGCGAGGGCCTGTTGGGATGTGGTGCAAGTCACTTGAAGTCCCCACAAGGCTGTCTGCAGTTGACAATGTGGTCACACTGTGAGAAAAACTACTGCTTAAGTGATGCTGAAGGTAGAAAACATACCGCCTGTGAAAAAGGAGGGAGTGAGAGGGAATAAAGGAGGGAAATGATCACATCACATGGTCAAGCTTTTCGAAGAAACAAAAAAACTAAGTTGATAATTTCAAAACATACAGTATTCAGTCACTGCTCCATTCATAACTCAGAGTTATTTGGCAAAAGGAGGAATAATAGTTATGATGAAGTCTCTGGGTATTTTACTAGCCTTACAAGTTCAGATTACCGGTTTGTGAGAAAGCTTTTTAAATAGCATTAACTGAGATGATGACAATCACTTCAAGTTGTTGTTCTTTGTAAACTGTAATACAAAACCAAAATTAGGTCTTAGCCCAATCTCCACTACAAATTAAAATACAAACCTTGTTGATATCCCAAAAGACAAGTGATTCCGAAGCAAAGGGATAAAATAGCTCCTCTAGGGCTTAGTCCATGGCCTCTATACAATACTTTCTTTAATAAGAACAATCTGCTGCAGTTGGTCTTATTACGTAGAAACCACGTGAACTTCCCCTGAATACATCCCTCAGTCTCATTAAAAATCCACATGCATTAGGGATGTGCTGGACTCCAAGTGAAGTATGTTACAAGACAGTTGCTATTCTTCCTCTAAGCAGAGCCGGTCTCCTGCCCTTAGAATCATGGGGGATTATTTGTTGAAAATGAAGATCCATGTGCCTAATCTCCAAAAATCTGACGCAGTGGAGTGCACATCTACTCTACACAATATGATTATATAGGATCCAGGTCGTATTATCTCATCAGCATATCAGTAACTCTAAGCCCTTAAAAAGATAATACTATCCATTTTCCTAGCATATCTGGGAGTAAACAGGGAACATACACCCACCATATAGAGGACACAACTTAAAGGACAGATAAACTGCCTTGGGGCAATGAATCTATAGTAGAACACTGGCTTGTAGATAGATAGGCCATCCCAATTATCTCTTCTCCCCTCGCCTATCCCAAACTCCAATTAATCTTTACATGAACAAAGACAGTTTCTGCTCCATTAATCTAGCTTCTCTCAAACACAAATAGATTTTTAAAATCTTCTGAGCCTTGTTATTAATATGCCTAAATATAAAACAGCAACAAAATAATCTGTAACACCAAAATGACACATAAGTCAAAATCTGTCTTCTCTCTTGAAAATGTGGAATAAGAGTGTCTTGTTTTTAAGAGAGAAAAAATTTCTATATTTATAAAAGTGCCAAAAAGGGGAGATTATCTTCCATCTTCTAACTATATCTAGACTGGGAAAAGGAGACAAATCTCAATTAACTTTAAAAATATTAAAACATTTAAAATTCCCGTTTCCTATCTAATACAGGCAAGTCTTTTGTTTACAACCAGAATACTATGACCTGAAGTACAATTTGCATTTGTGAAGATGAAGTTGCCTCTAATTAGATGATCTAAAATAAATCAGGGGTTCCCATATGTGGACTTCTTTCCAACATGAAGTTACTGTACTGTCAGATGTGCTCAGAACTCAAATTATGAAGTTCCTAACCCTTTCTCAGAATTTTCTAAAATTGTGTTACATACCCAAAGTACAGTTTATTTACACACACACACACACACACACACACACACACACACACACACACAAAAGACAGTGTCAAAGAGATTATACTTAACTAGAGGCCCAATGCACTACATTCATGCACTGGGGTGGAGTCCCTCAGCCCGGCCTGCCTCCTCTGGTAGTCCAGAACCCCTCACTCCATAACACTCGGCTCACTGCTCCTTAGCAGTGCTGCGAAGGCAGGAGAAGCTCCTGCCACTGCTGCTGTGCTCGCCAGCTGTGAGCCTGGCTTCTGGCTGAGCAGTGCTCCCCCTGTTGGAGTGCACTGACCACTAGGGGGCAGTTCCTGCATTGAGTATCTGCCCACATGGTGCTCAGTGCGTGTCTTAGCGATTATTCTATATAATAAATGCATAAGCCATAATGGTTGCTTAGGCATTTATTATATAGATAATGGTCTGAAGAACAATGAAGTTTAGCTAGTCTTGGTGACTAATGAATGGTCTAACTGTATATCCTATTTAATTGTTAGGATTTTTTTATTTGTATTTTAAAAAAATAAATGGTAGTGCAGCATCCCTGATACGCTAAATATCAGTATCTCCAAGGAAGACACGTAGAAACTTTTAGTTTGGAAGTAACATATTATTTTGCTGTACAGTCAATGGTGAATACAACCATGCTAAACTGTAGGCAAACATCTACACGAGGAAAACACTTATTGATGATGATCCTGAGGAAAAGGATATATCATAGTTACACAAACTCTTCCAAATCACTGAGGCAAAGCTCCATAAGCAGATCACATGCTTACCCACACAGGCGGGCCTCAGATGCAAGACCTCTGTAGGTCTCATAAGAACACACAAGCTTCATGAAAGAAATAAATTTTCCCTTCTCTTACCTATGACACCAAAGGGTTTCATGTCCTGGGTAGGAATCAATCAGATCAGTGGTGAATTCAATTTCTTCCTCTAGAAGATGGGAAATATTTATTCTCGATTCCTCTGTGGAAGCTGCTGCTGCTTCATCTTGTGGAAGGAGTAGAGCTGGCTCACTTCTCAAAGGGTTTTGCTCCAACACAGAACTGTCTTTCACAGTTTGGCTAGTCAAAGACTTTAGTAAAAACTGGCGGTAGTGAAATCCACTGTGGTCTGAAACGTGCATGGATGCCCAGTGTTTAGTAGAAGATAGTTCATCAAGAAGAATCTTGTAAAAAGAAGAAAGGTGAGATGAAAAACTTTCCAAATTTTTCTTTCTCCATTAATGCCTTGCTTTAATTGAACTTTATGTGTGTATGTGTGTGTTTTATAACGCTATTCCTACCACTATTTTGTATAGAGTGTATACACAGTGCTGTTGCTGAGTGGAAGCTCAGTAAATGCTAGTTTCGACATTCCCTTATAAAATAACTGGAGATTTTACACACACACACACACACACACACACTTGAAGGGAAATATTAATTCAGAGGTTATTTTGATGTAAAATTCCTTTGATATTTAATGAACCTCTACTATATCTAACTTACCATAACAGACTCAATATAATTATTTGTTCTTCACTATAAGTGCCTTGAGGGCAAAGACCATGTCTGTTTTGCTCACTACTTAATTCTAAAGGCTTAGAACAAAAAGATGACTCGTGAGTAACAGTAAATTTCAAGAGTTCATGACTATTACTTACTATTCATCTCAACTCACTTAATATCAATGATAATTTTTTAAAGGTAAATTAGATTAAATTCAGCAATGAATTGTTTAAATGTGTTATCAATCCTGCAAACTAAACAATTTGAAATGGAATGGGAAAAAAATTAAAGCAGCATTTATGAAAAATTAAATTATTTGGCAGTAACTTGAACAGGTAACAAACACAAATGGGTACACTGATCTACCAGGTTCCACCAGAGGATTTTTCCAACCAGCTAAGGAAAAAAGATATACTTGTCAACAATGAACAATATAGACAACACAATGTCAAAAGGCTCCTTTACCCGTTTTTTAAAAGTTCCAAGCAAATGCCTTCTCCTTTACCAAGATCCCTCTCCACTTCTCACAAACTCTTTTCTTCCCTACAACAAATCTTTCCCTCTTCTGAGCCTCCATACTTCTTGTGGGTTTCACCATATACAAGCGCGCGCGCGCACACACACATACACACACACACACATATTATAGAATTTTCGGTGCAACTTTTTTATCCCACCAAACTCTATAAGTTCTTTAAGATACTTATCTGGCCCTGTTTTGGCTCAGTGGATAGAGCATCGGCCTGCAGACTCAAGGGTCTCCAGTTTGAATCTGATCAAGGGCATGTACCTTGGTTGCAGGCACATCCCCAGTAGGGAGTGTGAAGGAGGCAGTTGATCGATGTTTCTAACTCTCTATCCCTCTCCCTTCCTCTCTGTAAAAAAATCAATAAAATATTTTTTTTTTTTAAAGAAAAAAGATACTTATCTGTCTCCATATTCACTGGCCTCAGAGTGGACATGTAAGTATTTTATGAATGACTGAATTAACAATTTAATTAATGAAGTGATTAGTACTGAGAGATAAGCTTATTCCCTGCTAGGATGGTCAAGTTATATCAGTGAAATATTTTAAACATCTCCTTTAAATCCTAAAAGAATTTACTCATAGCCACATAAATTTATTTATCTGGTGAGTCATGAAGAAATAAAAACAAGACTGTTTATTAGATTTAAAAGGTGAGCAAAATAGAACCAGATAAACTTCTGGTTGGAAAAACAAAACAAGACTAATCTTCAGGTTATTACGGTACATTGTTGAAGAATTAAGCAGCAGGACATGCAGGCTATAGTACAACAGATTTTAAATGCCAAATTGTTTTCCACAGTGGGTACACCATTTAACATTTCTACCAACAAAGTATAAGGGTTTCAATTTCTCTACATCCTCGTCAACACCTGTTAATGTCTATCTTTTAAATTTTATCCATCCTAGTTGGTGTGAAATGGTATCAAACTGTTGTTTTCATTTACATTTCCTTAATGGCTCAGGATACTGAACATCTTTTCAGGTCTTTATTGGATATCTCTTTATCATTTTTGGAGTAATGACCTCTGCTTAACTATCTTTCCTCCCCTCCCACCCTAAAAATGAGACTATTTTAAAATTTACCTAATTATATGATCACTTAAATACACAAACACCATAGGGAACATGAAATAGAAAATTAAAACCTCTCATAACTCCACTCTATAGCACTGATGAACATTTTTTATTTTCTAGACATTTTTTAAAAAACTAACAAATGCTTATTATAGAAAATATAGCCCTGGCTAGTTCTGCTCAATGGATAGAGCATCGGCCTGCAGACTGAAGGGACCCAGGTTCGATTCCAGCTAAGGGCACATGCCTGGGTTGTGGGCTCGGTCCCCAGTAGGAGGCAGTCAATCAATGATTCTCATCATTAATGTTTCTATATCTCTCCCTCTCTCCCTTCCTCTCTAAAACCAATTAAAAAATACAGAAAACTAACAAATGCTTATTATAGAAAATACAAAATATATCCCAAACAGTATTTTGTCTTTGTGTGTGTGTGTGTGTGTGTGTGTGTTGAATACTTACAATATGCCAGGAACTGTTCTAAACACTTTAAAATCACATTGAATGCTTATAATATATTAAGAAATTATATTAGATACATCTCATATTTAGTTTTATATCCTTAAACTATAATGAACATTTTTCTTATCTTCCAAAATACAATTTTCTAACAAAATATTGTAACATGTGATAGATTGGAATGTAACTAAACCCTCATTATTGGTGGATTAGACTAGTTTTTCATAATTATAAACAGTATTTTCATCTATCAAATGCCCATACTTAATATAATCATTGTGTATTGAGTGCTTAGTATAATGTGATAGCCACATTATGCGGATTCTCCCATTTATAGGACTCAAGATAGTAGGAATTTTCATCTTTCCCATTTTACAGATGAGGAAATTGAAGACTAGAGAGGCTAAGACACTTCCTCAAGGGTACACAGCAAATTGTGCCCTTGAAGTCTGCATGACCACTGAGTGGAACCTTCTGCTACACTGTATTGCATCTCCCATTATTTCTTTAGCATGAATTCCTAGAGGCAGAACTGTTGGATTAGACATAACATACTTTTTGTCGGGGAATAGGAGGGTATAGTCTGCTAAATACTGTTATGTTGACCTTCAGTAAGATTATAGAAATTTCTTCAATGCTTGTTTCCATAAACTCATATGCATTTTCTAGTTAAAAAAAAAAAAAAAAAAAGGACCAGTTAATTTTATATGTATTTTTAAGCTGCTCTAGGCTATTGGTCCTTTTATGATTATTTTCTGACAGACAAAGCATGACCTCAATGGCTTACAAGAGCAGAAAGGGGTTTTTGCAATGTCAGCACTTTTTACTGAGAGTAAGAGACAGCACAATGGAAGTGATGATAGGAAAAGCACAGTCCCCCCAAGGGCAAGGCAGGCTAACAGTATGCGAGCCTAGGATTGTGAGCCTTACAGCTAAGTCAACATACTGTCTGCAACACCAGATGGTGTCAAGTAACCAAGAGTTTCACCTTGGCCCCAAGTTCCTGGTTTTGTGAGAATGTCACCTTAAAAGGATCATAACTAGGCAGGAAAGCTTCCAAAGACTTTGTAGTTCACCTGGACTCGGCCTTCCTCTTTTTCCTTTACTCTCCTGAACCCCCACACATTACCAGGCTGTGAAGCTGAAGTGACTGGCTCTAACCACTCAATATCCACCAGATAACTTGCAATCATTCCTCCAGACTCCGAATTAATAATTTCTTCCATTAATCAGCCTAGATGGGGAGTAAATTTCTGTGCTCCCATTGAACCTGCAGCTTCCCTGGTTCCTGCAAATGTAACACTGCTTTGTCTTTACACCACAGTGTACTGGGACAGTGTGTGGGAATGACTGGGTTTCAATACTATTTCATGAACAAATTACAGTGAGTTGACCTAGCAATATGGTAGCCAGTTTCACCTACAGGGAATAAAGAAAAGAACTAAAATTTAGTGTGCCTATACTATTAGGTGCCCAGTACTTTATACACATTAATTTAAGTAATTTTCATAATAATCCACCGAGGCAGAAAGTAAAGCCCCCGTTTTAAACATTAAAGCCTTACTTTCCACAGACAGCTAGTAGGGCCAGAATGTGAGCCCAGACCAATGTAGTTCTGTCTCAGCTCTTTCCTCTCCATTAGGCATCTCCCCTCCTGAAGAATAGAGCCAAATCACCTAGAGGGGAAGGGCTACTCCTCTAAAATTGTTGGCCTAAAATCTCACTGAAGTGAAAACTCTCTTGTTTCACTTGGAGGAATCTCTATCTTGGAAACAGAGAAGAGAGGAAACCTAAGAAAGATGTGTAAAGAAGGGAGTGGTGAGTGAAAATTAGAGAATAGTTTCTCCATTAATCTGAAAACATTTTGACTTCTTAAATTGTCTCAAGACTAGGAAGCTTTTAGTCAAGTACCCTCGATGCTGATGGCACTGATATCATAAAAAAGGAAGAAGAAAGCAGAATAACTATAGTATGTAAGGAGCCCAAGGATACCTGGTTCTCACTCTGATGAATAGTAAGTAATGCTGTGGCTAAGTCTAAGCCATTAAAATTCTCTGCTAACTTCCATCTCTTTATTTCTAAAGAATTAGGTTGTGACAGTTTCCAACCTGGCTCTGCATCCAAATAACCCCCTGAGCTTGTGAAACACACTGATCTCTAAATCCTAGCCTCATTCCAATTTAGTAGGCTTGGGGTTGGACTTAGGAATCCTCAGGATTCTTATAGACTAAGTTGGGAAATACCTGAATGAAATCTTGTTTCCTTCCCAAGAGAGACTGAAAAGGCAGCCAGCTGATTCAGAAAGCCATATAAATCAAAGGCTATCAATTTAGTTTTTCAATGTTCCGCAATCTTTTCTGGTTTCAGGGCAAAATGAGTTATGCTCAGTCTTCCTTACTGCTTAAACCTACCTTTGTTCTGCCAATGCACTAGCCTTAACAGTGCCAAAATATGCTGGTGAGGAACACAAACCTTTTTTAATTGCCAGGGACCCCTGGAGGTATTAGCTGTTGTGATCCTCTCTAGGCTGCTGGGCTGCCTCTACTTTCCTCCTTTAAAGCCCCTGAGGAGGAACTGAGACCAGGAGATTTAAAGGCAGACATGGAGAGTGCTAGGGAGATAGAATAACACCCCTACCTTGACATCTAGCTTGGCCAGGTGTTGTAAAACCCAGATGCGATGGGACCAGGCATTATAGTTGCTTGGGTATCTCCCTGCCGCTTCACCACAGACCTCCATCTCTTCTCGTATTAGTCGCTGAGTCCTTTCCGCAGGAATTGTTCCCAAGTTTCCTTTGGTCACAAAGGAAGGCAAGGAGGTTTCCTGAAGTAGCTGCTGTAGCACCCATCGTCTGATAAGGTAGTATGTGGGAAAGAGAATGAGGAAAGAACATAAACCAGAGAGAAAAACAAAATTTTCTTGCTCTTAATTTAATTTCCATTCACAGATAATGAAAATAATACCTGTCTATAATCCCAATGAGTTTGTGTGTGTGGGTGTGTTTTGGGGGGATGTGGAGGAACTGTTTTTGTTTTTAAAGACACATTCAACTTTTGCAGCATTTAAAAGGAGGCAGGACAAGGAGGAAGAAAACCCTTTCTGAAATGTTAAAATCTGTCAAAAAGAAAATGCCATCAGTTACAAAATTACAACCCTAAACTCCATTTGAAGATATGTAAATTCAACTGGTGTATGAGTGTGTGTGTATGTTGTAGTGGTAGTTTGTGGGAGAACAGATATAATTAATGGCTGGTAAATGCTAGAAGAGGAATCATGGTTCATATCTTTAATTACATACAGATGCCTCAACCTATATATATTTGTTTGCGAACTAGAAACTGCATTATGACAGCTTTCATTAAGCAAAATTTCCATAGTATAGTAATTTCCATAGTATAGTATCTTTAATTACATACGGATGCCTCAACCTATATATATTTGTTTGCGAACTAGAAACTGCATTATGACAGCTTTCATTAAGCAAAATTTCCATAGTATAGTATAGAATCTAGAGGAAACAAATACATTATAATTAGTGAGACCATCAAGGTTCTAAAATGTCTTTATGGATTTTCTTGTCTATTTTTAAGATTTTCATTTGCATACATATAAATGAAATTCAATAAGGTGTCTCAACCACTTAATGTTTTAGATTTTAGCAAATATTTTCTCATAAGTACTATTTTAGATCAAAAATTTCTAACATAAAAGTACAAGAAACTGAATACAAAATTTTTTCATTTTCAAATAACAGTTTTAGTATTAACAACAAAGCCTTGCTTTTTAAAATTCTAGAGGCCCAGTGCACAAATTTGTGCACCAGTGGGGTCCCTCAGCCTGGCCTGCGGGATCAGGCCCAAACCGGCTCTCCAACATCCCCTGAGGGGTCCCAAACTGTGAGAGGCGCAGACTAGGCCAAGAAACCCAACCAATGCACAACTAGGGTCAGGGAGGGATGCCGGAAGTTGGCCAGCCAGGGAGGGACTGCAGAAGGGCTCCAGGGCGCGTCCGGCCCCACTTGCTCAGTCCAGATAGGCTGGACCCAGCACCGAGCTAACCTACCAGTCGGAGCATCTGACCCCTGGTGGTCAGTATACGTCATAGCGACCAGTTGAGCCCTCTTAGCATATCATTAGCATCCTTAACATATTATGCTTTGACTGGCTGAACAGATGACTGAACGACCGGACACTTGCATATTAGGCTTTTATTATATAGGATTAGCTAAGCCAAGAGATTGACTGAGGCATCCTATATAATAAAAGCCTAATGTGCAAATCAACTGAACAGCAGAACAACCAGTCGCTATGACACACACAAGGGGGCAGATGCTCAATGCAGAAGCTGTCCCCTGGTAGTCAGTATGCTCCCATAGGGAGAGTGCCACTCAGCCAGTAGCTGGGCTCATGGCTGGCTATTGCAGTAGCGGTGGTGGGAGCCTTCCCCGTTCTGCGGCAGCACTAAGGATGACAGTGACTGATGGCTTAGGCCTGCTCCCCATAGGAGCCATCAGTCATACATCCCCTGTGAGAGGATGCAGTCCAAGCTGAGGGAACCCCCTCCAAGTGCATGAATTTCAGCTGCACTTATTTTCCTTACTTGATTATTTTTAATAATCACAACCATTACCACCATCATTTTTACCAAGAACACAATTTAATTAATTATAAAACTTAAGTTGCTCATTATATTTGAATATCAAAATGCAATTTCCATGACTCCTTAAGATTTTAACAATAATGGTTAAAATTTATTGAGTATTTAATATGTGCCAGGCACTCTACTCATATAACTTTACTCATATAAACTCAGCTATTAACTCTGAGATAGGTGGAATTATTATTTTCATTTTACAAAAGAGAAAACAGGCTTGAAGAAGTTAAATAATTTCCAAAAATAACACGGGTAGCAAGTGCTGGCATCAAGATTAAAGCATGACTTTAAAATTCATTCTCTGAACCAGTATGTGATCTGATCTCACACACTATATTTTCTCCAGCCATTTGAAATCCTAAGTAAGAATCCTAAGGTGTAAATTAACCACACCTGTGAATCCATGTTTCTGGACTCTTTGGAAACTTAGTTAAGGCTAGTTTTCCCAGATGTAAATCCTTAATTGGATTTAAAGTGCCAGAGAGGATCAGCTCTTTTCTGTAAAAGAAAAATAAAAAGAACCATTACTTTATCTTTCTATCCAAACATATTGTATGGGTATTAATATAACCTGAGAAGTGAATTTCCAAGAATTTTTGAAAAAAGAAAACAAAACTCATACACGTCACACACAGTAATCAAGAATGTATTCTCATAATCTTAAAATAACAAAAGCTTTAAATCAATGGTAGACCTTTTAGTTATCTGTTTGGAAGAAGGCCAAGGGGTTTGCAAAAGCTTATCAGGCCTGACATCAGTATTTGAAGGGCAGCTCCAAAATGAGGCAAGAATTGCTCTAGCTTCCTAAGTAGGACTTGATATGATCTGGTTTATTATAAAAAAAAAAAAAAATACATATACAACTAACCCAGTATGATTGAGATGTAATCTCAAATACTATATTTATTTTTGAATTTTCCCTCTACCTTTCCTTATATGAATCTACCTTTTAATATATATAATTTTAAAAATTGATTTCAGAGAGGAAGGGAGAGGGAAAGAGAGAGAAACATCAATGATGAAAATGAATCATTGGTCAGCTACCTTCTGCATGGGTTCTGACTGGAAATCCAACCTTAACCTCCTGGTTCACAAGCTGACACTCAACCACTGAGCCATACAGGCCGGCTGCATCTACCTTTTAACATATAATTTTATATTCTAATCTTACATATTTGGTCCTATATGAATATTTTATTTATTTAATCCTCACCCAAAGATACTTTTTAATGTTTTGTTTTTAATATGTCTTTGTTGATTTTTAGAGAGAGGAAGGGAGAGGTAAAGAAAGATAGAAACACTCATGAGAGAGAAACATCTGTGGGCTATTTCCTATATGCCCTTACTGGAGATGGAGCCTGCAACCGGGCACGTGCCCTAGCTACCTGGAATTGAACCAGTAACCTTCTGGTACATGAGCAAACTGAACCATACCAGCCAGGTGAGGATATGTTTTATTATTTATTTATTTATAGAGAAACATCGATGTGAAAGAGACATCGATTGGTTGCATCCCATACGCATCCTGAGCAGGGATAAAACCCACAACCTTTTGGTGTGCTGGCCGATGCTCCCAACCAACTGAACCATATGAACATTTAAGTGGTCAAATAGTATTCATTCAGTAGCTATGCTGTTTGATTATGGTCTTCCCAATGGTTAGAGATTTAGGTTGCTTCTAAGTTTTTGCTATTCTAAAATAATTCTGAAACATAGAGCTTTGTGCTTATGACTTCTTTTGTAGTACTATCACTTAGGGTTAAGTTTCCAAAAGGTGTATTACCAGGTAAAATACCTACCTGCATGGGTCTTTATTATACTAGACAACTTTTGAAATTAAACGGAAGAAAGAGCTATGTGAAATTTTTATTTTTAAAGTGTTCCAAGCTTCAATGTAATATAAAGAATGCCATGCAAAACTGCTCCCCATACTTCTCAGGTAAAAACGACTTAGGTTTAGGTTTAATTTCTCAGATAAGTTTTTATATTAATTTTTAATGCATTATTATTTTATAATGAAGCTAGGTCATTTGCTAATATTTAATCTTCAAATGTCCTTTCTATGGTAGGGATGATTATATATATTTTAGGGAAGTGTAATGCCAATAAATCCAAAGCCCAGCATGTACACCTCACCTACTTAGGTGGATTAGTTCCTAAATACCACAATACCTTTTCTTTCCAACAGCAAACGCCCTATTTTTAACCTTTTATTTGAAAAGAAAAAAAAAACTTCCTTTTTAATGAAAACACTACATAAAGTGATAATATTTGCCTTTTACAATAATTTCACTTTATAAAATAAAGGAATATATGGCTGCTTTAATAGGTGAAATTATTGACTATTTTTCTTCCAATGTACAGGAAAACTGTATCATCTTAAAAGAATATTTAATGCACAGCCAATTACTTTTGCAGTCTGAGATCCTTTTTCTTCTGAAATCGGTAAATATTTTGTTCATACAATAAGTCAGATTACTTATATAAAAGAAGGCACAATACTGCTCTATGTAATTTTAAGTACTTTGTAGAACAGATTCTCAAATTAGGGTCCTTGACTACATCATTTGAAACGGTTGAGAAATAAAGTCTCAGGCCTCATCCTAGACCCAATGAATCAAAACCTCCAGTGGGCAAAGAAATGTGTTTTAGCAAGCCCTTGGGTAGTACACACTAAAGATTAAAAACCATTTTTATAGGTAACTTACTGTATTAAGTATAATTTCCATTTACTAATTTTGAAAAATCTTCTGATTTACAATTACTCAACTATTCCCTAGGATGTCTATAAACAAAAAAAAAATTTTCTTCAGTAAATAGGAAGTTACCTTACAAATAAATCTTTACAAAGTTTCTTAAATTAAGGGTTCTCTCTCAATTTCTTTATTTGAACAAAGTAGTGTTTGGGAAGACATCTTAGCTTAAAATAACCTCAATCAATGGTGTGTGTGTGTGTGTGTGTGTGTGTGTGTGTGTATATATATATATGGTAAGCTAACATGGGAAGAAAGAATAAAGTGAGGGTCATTAAATAAATGTGAGGGGAACTAACTAGGAAAGCAAAAGGCACCTGTGGTCTGGAAGCCTAATTAGCATATTATGCTTTTATTATATAGGATAATTTATTTGTATCCTGCCTTCCTCTTAAAAGAATTTGCATTAGTCTAAGGAACCACCAGTTTTTAAAAACCACATACATATATTGAAAAATATGAACCTGGTCTGAGAACTATAATAGTTCAATAACTACTGTGTTTAAAGCTACAATAATTAAAATTAAAGGTATCAATAAAATATGACCTCTCTCTAACACACTGAGTGCCAGAGTCTGCAGTGATTTGCCCACAGAGGTCCCAATGTTAGTGACTCAACTGAGATTACAAGATTGTGGCCTTAAATGCTCACCCCACACACTATAATGCTTCTCAAATATACTAAGCAGGGTCTTACTCGTCAACCAACTATGCTGATTACCCCTACCTCTCTTAAATGAAAGTAAAAGTAAAAGCAGGCATTAAATGGTATACCATGATTCAACATGATGATTTATATTTCAGGAAAATAGTTTACAGAGAACAGAGATAAATATGCAAAAAAGGGGCAAAGTTTATATTAGAATTTTCATGTGCCTATTATAAAAAATGAGAAGATGCCATGGACATATGGTTTATATTTCATTTTTCAAGAAGCTAACAACTCATGGGGCTTGTATGTCTTCAGAAATTTGGACAATTTCATTTTATTAATGGTTAGAATGACGTACCTCACGTTCCATGCCGTGGTAAAGTCTGGGTTTAGAAGCAGCAGAGTGCGTGTGACATCTATCAGTTCTAAAATAAAGAGAAGTCACATTAAAAACAAATAGTCCTATCCTTTAAAGCTCGGCTTCTCTTTAAGGTCTTTATTTCATTTTACAGTTCCTCATGTTGTGGTGACCCCCAACCATAAAATTATTTTCATTGCTACTTCATAACTGTAATTTTGCAACTGTTATGAATTGTAATGTAAATATCTGTGTTTTCCAAAGGTCTTAGGCTCTTGACCCTCTGGTTGAGAACCGCTGCTGTAGAGCCTAAGACCATCGATCCCAGTCTGTGAGAGGGATGTCTGAATGCCAGCTTAGGCCTGACTACCACGGGAATAGGGCCTAAGCTGGCAGCAGACATCACCCCAGGAGTCCCGGACTACAAGAGGGCATTGTCCAGGCTCAGTGATCACCCTCTCTAGTGCATGAATGACATGCACTGGGCCTCTAGTATATCTATAAAGAATAATTTAACTAACCTCTTCATTCTTTTACTTTTAGTAGTTTTTGACACTAATTTAATATTTATCAGGGAAAATAAATATAAATTCCTACACTATTATTTATTTAATTCCACAAATATTCTAAGTATTGAGTATGTACAAAGATTAAACTGGATCTTTCATCTCTATGTTCTGTGTGCATCTTACTTTGATACTGATCTTGATAAATATTATCCTTTTAATGAGACTGTAAGTTTTTTGGAGGCAAGTCCCCTCTAATACATCTTCAAATTATTCATTTATTCAACATAAATGTGAAAAAATATGGTCTCTGCCAGGATTCAAATCTGTTTTTCCACTGTTTACATAACACCATTGAGCATCAGTTTCCTTATCTGTGAAATGGTGATAATATCAACCTCAGTGATGTGAACAATTAGATTCATTCCCTATTGCCACAGCTGTTTGACAGTGGGTACTCAATAAATGTTTGTTCATCTAAATACCATTGCTCCTTATAAAAAATGAAAATTTCACCCTAGCTGGTTTGGGTCAGTGGATAGAGCATTGACCAGCAGACCAAACGATCCCAGTCAAGGTCACGTACCTTGATTGCAAATTCCTCTCCAGCCCAGGGCTGGTCAGGGCTCCTGCAGAAGGCAACCAATCAATGTGTTTCTCACATTGATGTTTCTCTTTGTGTCATTCTCTCTCTTCCACTCTCCCTAAAAAAAATCAATGGAAAAATATCCTCAGGTGAGGATTAACAAAACAAAGCAAAAAAGAAAATTTTCAACACTAATTTATCAAAGAAGTAATCACGAGGCAGATGTTCCTATAGTGAAACTGTCTAAATTTCTAAACTTGTAAAATAAGCAACAAAAAACACATCTGGTTGTTAAGTAGCTATATAAAAACATGTGTATATAATATTAATAGGAAGGCCGCTAGTATTCCTTTTGAAGTCTATAATTTTTCAATCCATTATACTATCCACATAAACTATTATTTTGTTTCTTGGACTTTCCCTTTCTATATTAAAAAAAAAAAGTATAACCCAGGATTGTGACTATTTGTTTGTACTTATAATGCAACTCTTCTACCCAACCCATAAAGAAGGACAAGTTCATCCTCCATGAGAGAGACTGTACAGCAGTACAAGACAAACACACAGAAAAATACCTAACTCCCCACTATTCATTCTGTGGTTGTGTGAAGAGAGAGGAAGACTGACCAAAGTAACACTCCTTTAATAATGGTACTACTCATACGGATATTAAATGATTCAAACCCATGAAGGATTAGGACAGTACCTGACAGTAAGCACCCAATGGTAATTCCTTTTACAAAGCTTGTATTTCCTAGCCCAGTTCAATAAATGCATGGTCGACAAACTGCAGCTCGTGAGCAACATGCAGCTCTTTGGCCCCTTGAGTGTGGCTCTTCCACAAAATACCACGGCCTGGACAAGTCTATTTTGAAGAAGTGGCGTTAGAAGTTTAAATTTAAAAAATTTGGCTCTCAAAAGAAATTTCAATCATTATACTGTTGATATTTGGATCTGTTGACTAATGAGCTTGCTGACCACTGCCTAAACCATACTGGGGCTGGGGCCCCCAGAGGGAGGAAAAGAGTCCCCTGAGCTATCTGAGCAGTGACTGCAGGGCAGAGGGGATACTTCTCAACTTCTAAGAATCTCCAGTTTTAGTGCATATCAACAGCCTCCATCAACCATCAGTGTGACATTCAGTCACAGGCCCTCTCCCCTCCTCTTTGACAATTCACTAACTTTTCCTTTACATGTATTTTTCTGCTCCTCTTCCCCACTGGCTCTGGCTAAATGAGAGAAAGGAGACTAGTGTCTCTATATGCCAGGCACTGTACTGAGTGCTTTACATATACCACTTCCTGTGATCCTCACAACAACCCTGTGAGACCCACTAGTGTGAAAATAGGAAGAGGTTAAGTAAAGTGACTTTAGTGTATTGATGAACTGATTCTAAACCCAGGTCTCTTTTCCTGCAAAGCAGATGCTATTTCCACCCCAGCCACAATGTCTACAGTTACTCTGCCCTCTTTAAGTGAGACCTGAACCAAAGATCTAAAGTTTAACCAAAGATTTCTAGATAAAGATAAATATGTCTTTATTTACCTGCAATTATTTTACTCTCTCTACATTTCATCTATATACTATTTTCCTTTGCAGTTTTACTAAGATGTGAGCTACTGAAATACCTATCATTTCTTGATATTAAACAGATCTCTCTCCAAATAACAGGATATATTCCAGCAAATAACTGTTCATTACATACTTCAATATGCATCTAACTCATCATTCCATCACAAGGAGAAAATGAAGCGGGATACATTATATACAGGAAAATAGCTAAATCCAGCTGTAACAAGGAGGGGATACAAGGATGCTGCAGAAAAGTCAGAGAAAAATCAATAAGATTTCTTTGCTACCCAAGGCTGGCAGTTATGTGGCAATGGTCATTGGGTTTGATAACTGTCTATAACAGATAAGTTTTCATGCATTTAGAAATAAACCCAAGGTTAGCTTGGATTGGTTAATCTCTTCTTCCAAAACACATTTAGGTTAATATGAGAGGCTTAAGGTAAAGCTATATGGTAAACACCAAAGGTCACTTATTATAGAACAGAATCACTGAACCGATAGCCAGACTAAGCTAAAGTCTTTTGCTTACCAATATCTTGTTACTTTTATGATAAATGTCTGTTGAACACATAAGGTGCTGGGTAAAGAAAGACAAGACATAATCCCCCTTTCTAACAAACTCACAATCAAGCTGGGGAAAATGTTATTTAAATAAATAACTACAAAAAACTATAGTAGGTGTTACTGTGTAAGCATTCTGAATAAAGAACTCCCACAGGCCTGCAGAGTAGTAATTACTTTCTCCTAGAGGAGTTGAAGAGGCTTTATGAGTATGTGGGTGTGTTTATGCTGACAACCACAACAGTGACAACATAGACATATTATAAAAACCTAACATGCTAAGTGCCTAGTCATCCATTCAACCGATCAAAGCATAATATGCTACTGATATGCTAGTCACTCATTCAACCACTTGCTATGATGTGTACTGACCAGCAGGGGGCAGATGCTCAACCGGTAGGTTAGCTTGCTAATGGGGTCCTACCTATCAGACTGAGTGAGAGGGGTTACACATGCCCTGAAGCCCTCCTACGGTCCCTCCCTGACTGGCCAACCTCCCATGACCATCCCTGGCCCCAATCGTGCACCAGTGGGATCCCTTAGCCTGGCCTGAGCCCTCTTGCAATTCAGGACTCCTTAGGCGATGTTGGAGAGCCAGTTTTGGCCTGATCCAATAGGCCAGGCTGAGGGACCCTACTGGTGTACGAATTCGTGCACTGGGTCCTTTAGTAAGATATAAACATGGCCTCAGAAAAAAACACACAGAAATAAGGCAGTAGTACACAGCAAAGTCCAAGAATGGAACAGTATATGATGTGGCTGAAAGGTATATCAAAGAACTGCAAAACTCAAATGCTTTTAAGGTTCAAATGATTGTTGAAGTGTATGAAAGCAAACCTGGAGAGTAGCAACTGACACTCTCCCTCAGTGTCTGAAGAACATGAAGAGGTTGTAATAAAGCTTGGAACAAGCTTTCCTAGTCAAGAAAAGCAGGGGCTGTGAGCACAAGCCAATTGGTACCATGGAGAAATGTATGCACCGAAGGCTTCCGATTTTCCAAGTGAAGATAGAAATGCAGATTTCCATGCTAATTTTAAAAGTTCATCCTGATTTTAAATGTTTACCTAATTTATAATAATTTTAAAAAGCCTTAGCCGGTTTGGCTCAGTAGATAGAGCATCGGTCTATGGACAGAAGGGTCCCAGGTTCAATTGTAGTCAAGGGCACATGCCAGGATTTCGGGCTTGATTCCCAGTATCGGTCGTGCAGGAGGCAACCAATCAATGATTCTCTTACTCGTCCTTCCTCTATGAAATCAATAAAAATATATATTAAAAAATAATTTTATAAGCATTATACAAACCAAAACAAAATATATCTGTGGGCTGGTTTTAGTTCGAGGGCTGAGAATCTACAACCTCTGACACTGAATTTGAAGTAGAAGAAAAGCTATAAAATAGTCTGACATTTGCTCAAAAAACAACTGCCATTTGACCAAGTGATCCCACATTTAGTATTATGACCTAAGAAGCCAGAAATACCAATCACAAAGAATATATGCAACCCCTATGTTCGTAACAGCGTTACTTACAATACCTAAGATTTGGAAACAGCCCAAGTGCCCATTAATAGACAAATAAATTAAAAAACTATGGTGCATTTACATAATGGAATATTATGCAGCTGTGGGAAAAAAAAAAGAATGATCTCTTACCCTTGGAGACAGCATGGAGAGACATGGACTGTACTAAACTAAGCAAAATAAGCCAGTCAGATAAAGACATGTATCACATAATCTCACTTATATGTGGAATCAATGAACAAAACAAACTGATGAACAAAAATAGAACCAGTGACATTGAAGCATGCAACAGGCTGATGTACTTCAGAGAGAAAGGGGGTGGGAGAGGAGGAAGAGATTAACCAATGACCTTATATGCATATATGCATAGTTCATGAACAGATAATAATATGGAGAAGGCCTGGAGAGGGGATGGGAGCACCGTGGAGGGGGTCAAGGGGAGGGAAAAGGGGGGATATATGTAATACTTTCAATGATAAATAGAGAAAGAGAGATAGAAACATCGTTTTCTTTTTTTTTCCTTTTTTTAAATATATTTTATTGATTTTCTACAGAGAAGAAGGGAAAGAGATAGAGAGCTAGAAACATCGATGAGAGAGAAACATCGACCAGCTGCCTCTTACACACCCCCTATCGGGGATGTGCCCCAACCAACGTACATGCCCCTGACCGAAATCGAACCTGGGACCTTTCAGTCCGCAGACCGACGCTCTACCACTGAGCCAAACCGGTTTCGGCTACATCGTTTTCTTAAAGGAAAGGCTGGTGACAGATTGTAAAGGCCCTTGAATACCAAGCCAAATCAATTGACAATGTAGATAGCATGAACATGAAATTAGATAATAAGTGTTGTTTGAGACGACTGGCTAATGGTATGGACATGGATTATAAAACAGAGGTAGACCAGCTGATCTATGGGGTAGACCAGCTATGAGGTAATAATATTTGTCCAGATAAGGAGTAAGAATTGAAGAAATAGCACAATAATGGAGCAGAGATGGTGAGAAAGAGGGGAGAGAACAAAAGCTGATGATGGAATGGCACACATGGAGATGGTCAAAGAGTGGGGCAGAGTTCTTCTCCGTCAAGACTCCAATTTTGTGGACTTCTCTTTTGCTTTTTGTTTTGTCATGGATTTCTCAAAAATTAGAATTACAGTATCATTTCTCTCCCAAACCAAATATGGCTATTACTGCATCAGATTTTTTTAAAAATATCAGTCTCCAAACAATTACACAGAAATGCTGTGATATTATTTTAGCTAAACCATGGTTAAACTTGCCAGGCTATGGGTACCCAGACTAAATGTTACTTCTAAGTGTGTCTGTGAGGGTGTTCCCAGAAAAGATTAGCATTGGTAGATTCAGTAGATTGCCCTCCACAATTTAGGCAAGCATTATCCTATCTGTTGAAGGCCCAACTAGAACATGAGAAAAAAAGAGGAGTTGTTCATCCCTGTTTTTTGCTTCCTGTCTGCCTGCTTGAGTTAGGACTTCTCATCTTTTCCGGCCTCTGGTCTGGGACTGAAAAACTGACACACAGGTTCTCAGGCCTTCAGACTCAAACTAAGTTACATCACTGGTTTTCCTGGGTTCCTACCTTGCAGAATGTAGATGGTGGGAGTTCTTAGCCTCCATAAACATTCAAGACAATTTGTCATAATAAATCTCTTGTATACATATAATTTTCAGCTGTTTGTTTCTCTGGAGAACCCTAATACAGACAGATGCTTTCCAAAGATCTAAGAAATTCAGCACATTAATGAGAGCATGAAGTCAGTTTGATTAAAAAGGGAAAAAAAAGTATTCCAAGAATAAAAGTAACAACCTTCATTCACAGAACACATTCTCAGGGGATGCCTCTCTTGGGTTTTGGCATCATCAATCACACAGACACTGACATTTCTGAAATTGTCAGGTTTCTTCTTATTTGTATATTTTCTAAAAAAGCAGTTTTCACAGCATTTTCATGAAATAACTTTTTCCAACATTTTTTGCTTTCTTGCTTAATAAGATTTACCTCTATATTCTAATTGCTTCAGTGCATAAGTTTGGCAAAAGACTCTTATTAGTCAGGATTTTCACATATCTTTTTCTGCCAAATCAGAAATTTGCTTCCATATTTTTATTAATAATATCACACAACCTGAGTTGTGTGTACCACGACACTAAATTATGCTGCATTATACACCAGAAACTGAAAACTGCCTCCATGAGATGGAATCAAGCTCTATAAACAAGTGAAGCTGCATTAGCACTAGGAGCTTAGATGACAGCTATTCTTGTGAGTACATTTAACCACATCATCTTTCACCGGGATCCTCCTGGGCCTAGCTCTTAAAACTAAAACTACAGGATGAGGAGATTTAGCAAAGCCAATTGTGCAGTGTCCATAAATATAAGAAACAGGAAAGGACTTGGAAGAGCTACAAGGAGATGGCAGGTTGGGCTAGCACACATAGGCAAAAAACAATGATCTGAAACAAAAATAGCCTTTGACATTTTAAAATGTAGTGTCTTTTCTCCAAGAATATCATTCTGCCACTCCACTCCAAGTTAGTTACATATTGATTCAATTATGCATTTCTGTGTGCCAGAAAACACATACAGCTCTGTTTGGCAAAAAATAACAATGGATCCATAGGTTGTTATTTTGAATCTTAATTATATTAAAACCTATTATAGAGTGATGAAATGGAGAAGAAAAGAGGATCTAACAATACAAAAATTCTTACCTTTAAGTTTATGCCTAAACTTATACTTTTAAGTTGATGCCACAAATAAAAGCTAGGCATAACCTTTTAATTAAGAGTTTTACATACACATATGCTATACTAGAGGCTAGTCGCATGAAGATTTGTGCAATAGGCCTTCCTTCACCTGGCTTCAGACACACCGGTTTTCCTGTGGTACCCAGGACCCAGGCCTTCACTCTGGCCATTACCGTCTGCCTTCTCTCCGGCCAGGGTCTTCGCTGACTCCAGCGGCAGTCTTCAGGCTTCTTGCTGACTCCAGGCAGTCTGCACTCTTAGCTTCTCTCTGGCCAAAGAGCTGCTCCTATAGCTTCCTTCATGGCCCCTCCCCATCATACCAGGTGTCCTGCCCCTCCCAGCTGCTCTGCCATCTTTGTCCTGCTAATTTGCATATTCCCTCAGATTGACTGCTGGGTGTCAGAGGTATGGTCAATTTACATATTTCTCTTCTATTAGTGTAGATAATAAAATGCTAAGTGTCCAGTCACTCGTTCAACCAATCAAAGCATAATATGCTAATGATATGCTAAGGCAGGGCAACCACTTGCTTGATGTACACTGACCTCCAGGAGGCAGACATTTGACGGGTCGAACAGTTGCTATGACGTGCACTGACTACCATGGAACAGACTGGTAGTTTAACTTGCTGCTGGGGTCTGGCCAATTGGGACTAAGCAAGATGGGCCAGACATGCCCTGGAGCCCTACCACAGTCTCTCCCCAGCCCTGATTGATTGTGCATTGGTGGGGTCCCTTGGCCTGGCCTGTGCCCTCTAGCTATCCAGGACCCCTTGAGGGATGTTGGAGAGCTGGTTTTGGCCTGGTCCTGCAGGCCAAATTTATGCACTGGGCCTCTAGTATGTATAGATAGATAGATAGATAGATAGATAGATAGATAGATAGATATAGATATATACAACCAAAAGACTAAATAAGTGAAACACACAAAATAGAAACTACTTCACACATTAACTCCTTTTAACTCCTTTTGTACTGGTCTAAACAGAGAAAAGTGCTATTAATCTCTTACTTTCACTGAAATTAATCAGAATTTGTGTACATAGAGGCTTAATATAACCTATAGTGGGAAACTAAGAAAATAAACCAGGTGGAATGAATAGGGATTGTCTGATGCAACAAAGAGGAGCAGAAGAAGTAAATGCTGATATAGTTTTTGTTTGTTTGTTTGTTTGTTTTTGCTTCTATCAGCAGAGGAACAGGACACAGAGGGCTTGAGCTCAACTGGGTTTCAGTGTGACAAATCACAATACAACTACCACATCATGTCTCCATTATCTCATTTGGACTGCTATTAAAATGAGTTCTATTGTTTATATAGCACTAAAGGATTAGAAACCAGAAAATCTGAGCTTGTAACAACCACAGTCCTCTTAAGTAATTTTTAAACTTTTTTTTGGGGTCACAGGATATCTTCTTCAAATACCATTTAATAAATGACCCCTCTATATTAAAAAAGATAAATCAGAATGGCTCAATTTACTGCTCGGGTTTTCAGTAGGTGGCCTGGCACCCTGCTTAAGGCATCTCCCATATAATCACTATGGATGTAAACTTTGAAAAATGATGAGTTCAAACTCCTCTCTTGTCCCGAGGTCACATACCTGCCCAGGCATTGAATGAAAGAGCTAGAAATAGAATCCAGCGATGCCAGCACCCAGAGAAATTCTTCTCACTATATTCCATGCTGCTTCCAAAACACAAAGGAGGACAACAGAGTTCATACTTACCATCTTTGTTCAGCCATTGCTTTCTTGTTCTGTACAAAATGAGCTTGTTGTGGACATACGGTAAAAGGAACTTGACACACCAGCTCTCCACACCAAGTTTGTTTTCAACCAGGACTATGGGGCTCCGGTTATACCTAGCTTCAGGACATGGGATCAGGCCAATTTCATCTCTTAATATGTAAAACATAAAAAACAATAAAAATAAGAATACTACCTTTTCAATCCTGAAGAGTATTTTTAAAAAATTAATAATTTCTATTTCTTAAAAATATTATTTGTCATCTACTGAATTAGTAGAAATCAACAGTACAGGAAAATTAGTATGGTGTACTCCCTGTTGATGGAAATAAAAATAAATCTAATCTTTGAATTGAAATCTGAAAATCTTTCAAAATTTTAACTACACATACTCTTTGACCCGTGATTCCACTGCTCAGAAATTATACTGCACCAAATTTTTTGAACAGGATGTTGACTGCAACAACAGTAGAAATGATGTAAATGTGTATGAATATAAGACTAGTAAAATATACATGATTTATCCATGTAGTAGGAGGTATAAAAAAATGAGATAGATATGCATATGTTGGTATAAAAAAGGTGCCAAAATCTATGAAAAAGCAAAATGACAAATATAGTGTATCCCACAAAGCCTTTTGTGTAATTAAAAAAAAAAGCTATATAAGCATTAAAATTTTTCTTGGAAAGATACCAAGAAACTTTTGGGACGATAAAAGATTTCATTTTCATACAATCTAAATTTTCTAATCACTTGTACAAATTATTTCTATCTTTTTAAAAATGTGAACAAATGTACTTATGTTTACTTGCTAACAAATGTATGTGGAATGGAAACAAATTATTCGCAAAAGTTATTTTGTCAATTGAGATTGTGGGCTACATTTTATTTTCTTCTTTATAATCATTTAAATTAAAAAAACAACAACACACACACATACTAGTAAATGTTAAAACACAAAATACATTTCAGAATTTGATCATTTTCATCAAAGGCATCTATATTCCTCAATCCACGTCAACTCAAGTGGAAAATCTATTTTACAGGCCAAGATTTAGTAAACAATATGTAAGACAGTTGATTTATACAGTGAAGGAACCAGCAAACATAGTGTTATTGCAAAGCTTGGCACATGCTTTTCAAATATAAGGAAATTACATTCTTGCTTACATGAGACATTCCTTCTCAAAGAGAATGTCCTTCCCTGTAATGAATAGCTAATAAATTTCTTTAAATAAAAGCAGCTAGTAAATAATAACATTTTTAGACTGTCTAAATAGATAAAAATGTTCTTTTAAAAAACAAAATACCTGTTTTTCAGAGCTTGTTTATGACATTATCTATTCTGTCCCTGGGGTTCTCCTGCCAAGAAGACAGTAGTTTCATAGATGAAAGAGGAGGAAACATGTCCATTAAAGGTTATAAGAAAAGCTCTCTTTTTTTTTGTGAAGCCATCAACACAAATTGGTGAGAGGCTGTGGAAATTAAAATCCCTCCTAGAAACTCTAAACAGTATAATTCAAAGGTGACCTGCTTGCTACTGATTACTTCATTAGTGACATGGGAATCTACACTAATAATCTACCATACCTTTGAGATGCCCACTAGCCAATCAGGAGTTAGTATGCAAATCAACCCAACAAAGATGGCGGGTTAGTTTGCATACGCAGATGCCGAGTAGCGGACACACACACACGCAGACACACACACACGCAGACACACACACACTTGCGTCGTCACCATGGCAATATCGCAGGCATTCCACACCACCCCAGCCACTCCAGGCCTCTGGGCAGTGTGGGAAGGTGGAAAGGCAGCTCAGGCAGCCAGGGGAAGGAAGGCCCATTCTTGCATGAATCTTCATGCATAGGGCTTCTAGTATGTATTATTAATCAAGGGTACTCAAAAGGTTGCAAGTCTCTATCCATTCTTTCTAGCTAACTTAATTTGTAAGTAGATTTTAAGATCTAAGGCTTTTGTTCTGACAACTAGCTCTGTTAATTCAGAGGTGTTCAATACACCATGTCAATACTATCTAAACATTTTATAAGTACTACTCTAATGTACTGGCTACTGTGCTAAATTCTGAAAATGCAAAAATGAACAAGGTAGACCCAGATTTCAGAGAGCTGATGGTTTTGCTGGGGATTGTGTCAGTATCTATAATAAAATGTTACCACTTTGGCCCTAACTGGTTTGGCTCAGTGGATAGAGTGTTGGCCTGCAGACTGAAAGGTTCCAGGTTTGATTCCGGTCAAAGGCATGTACCTTGATTGCGGGCACACCCTCAGTGGGAGGTGTGCAGTAGGCAGCTGATCAATGTTTCTCTCCCATCAATGTTTCTAACTCTCTATCTCTCTCTGTAAAAACATCAATAAAATATATATATATTTTTAAAATGTTACCACTTTGTCATTCTAGTAATATAAATAAAATTCTGCAGGAAGAATTTACCAATGCTAAGAGAGCATCTGAGGGAGGTTAATGTACAGTAACTTGTTTTTGTATTTGATGACAGGACAACTAGCCACATCTAATCTACACCTGATTAATATATATCAGAATCTCTGGTATTTTCTGGTGTTCAGGTTTTACTATATAAAGTAGATCATTTAATAACTAGAATAATAATAAAAAACAAAAACAATCTCAGTTCAATTATTTCAAGAAAGTTTGTGCTCAGAGGTCTAATAACCACTTACAATACTGCAAAGAACTGCAAAAGTCAACAATATGAATGTTGGAATAACAAGAATAAAAGAATCCTAGCTTCTGGGTACAGTCTCGTGGAGGTTTTTTGGGGGAGAGGGAAATGGATTTTTATAACTTAAATTCACAATATAAAAACCCTGCATTGCTCACTATTTATACCCAAAATAAAATGCCCAACTTCATGTACCTAAATGACAGAACAGAGCCATCTGCACACACACACACAAAAAACAACAACCCTGCACATTGTTTTAGTTGGTTACTCCACTTCCAAGCAATAATTAAAAAACTAAAAATACCTTGGATACAGTAGGTACTCAATAACTGCTACTGAAAGGTTGATTATTCTTGTACTTTGTTGATAATATTCAAAATAAATAAAGTTCAAAGAGCATCACTTCTTGATTCTGAAAAAAAAAAAACCTAACCACTGATTTCCTTCGAATGCAGTGGGTCCAGCTCCTGGCTCTGTCAATGTGATATATAGAGCATGTCACTTGGTCTCTATAGATCTCATTTTCCTCACTTTTAAAATGTGAAACTACATTATATGTCTACATAAAGGCAATGGGCTGCTATATCTCCTTTTATCCAACTTTCAAATTTTAAGACAGAGAAACCTAGCAGCTTTTCTCATCCTATTTAATAAAAGAGTAATATGCAAATTGATCACCACGCCAACACACAAATGGCCACCCCCATGTGGACACAAGATGGCTGCAACAAAATGGCCAGCAGGGGAGGGTAGTTGTGGGCAATCAGGCCAGCAGGAGAGGGCAGTTAGGGGCAACCACGCCTGTAAGGGAGGGTAATTGGGAGGGACCAGGCCTGCAAGGGAGGGCAGTTGTGGGTGATAGGGCCAGCAGGGGAGGGCAGTTGGGAGAGACCAGGCCTACAAGGAAGGGCGGTTGGAGGGGAGAGGGGGAGTCCAGGCCAGCAGGGGAGGGCAGTTAGAGGCGACCAGGCCTGCAGAAGAGGGCAGTTGGGGGGATCGGGCCTGCAGGGAAAGGCAGTTAGGGGCAACCAGGATGGCAAGTGCTCAATCCTCATATTTATGTTTCTCTCTGTCTCTTCCCCTTCTTTCCACTCTCTAAAATCAATGGAAAAATATCATCAGGTGAGGATTAAAAAAAGAGCCTAAGTTAAAACTGCAAAGTTCCTTGCTTAACAGATACTGATAAAGTGAGGAAAAGAATGTTAGCTTTTACCAAGTTATTTGACCCTGAAATACAGTGCTTTGCTGCTTCCTACAAATATAACAAGTGCTTCAGACAGATAGGTAGGTCAGTAAGCTTCCAAATAACAATGTGCTTGATTTCAGACTTCTATGTCTAGTCCCTTAGGTCATAATCCACTTTTCTTCCCCCAGACAATTTGGGATTCCAGAATCATTTTAAAATGGGAAGGGACCCCATTTCTCTAGTCTCTCATTTTATCAGATGAGAAAACTGAGGTCCACTAAGGTCAATAGGATTTACCCAAGTCATTTTGGCTTGTGGCTAAATTAAAAATTGGGACTTCCTTTTCAGAAAGAAGGCAAGGGAGGTGGGAAGAAAATTTGTAATGTATATATGCATAACACATCAGCACAGACAATAGGGTGGTGAGGCCTGGGGCAGGGATGGGGGTCAGGCTGAAAGGGGGCCAATGGGAGAAAAAAGGGGACATATATACTTTCAACAATAAAGATTTTAAAAAATAATTAGGACTTCCTAATATTTAGCTCCAAATCCTTGTAGTCACAGGGAAGTGAAAGCAAGCAGGATTTATATTAATTCCTTCTAGATTTCTGGTATTTAAATTCTAATTTTCCACTCAAGAAAAGTTGGAAAACTCAGGGGAAAAAAAACAAACTAAAAGTTACCTGCTATCCCTTTACCACGGTTAATTTGGGCATGTGACCTTTTTTTCTATATATTCTATAAAGTGGGATTGAGAGGGTATGGCGGGGCGAGGACAAACTCCTGACTCCACTGTGGGGCAAGGCGGTTATCCTCCATTTTGTAACTGAACCCTAGCCCTCACTCAACCAATCAGGGTTAGCTGAAGCAGTGACATCATCACCGACGGGAGTAAAACCCCTGGGCTGGGCGAAATTCCCTCTCTCTTCCGCCATGCTGCCAGCGTGAGTGGGATAGAGCCCATGCTAGCATGGATAAGAGGCTCTTTTGTTTATTGCATGGGACTCGGCTTCCTGGTGGTCCTTGGGGATCATGAAGTCTGGGCGTAACAGGATTATATTGGACATACTCCTCTATAATCCTTTTTAGAAATTTAATTCACATAAATCATTTTCCTATTAATTAATATATACGTAATGGCTACATTGAATGTGCTATAAATATAAAACACAGCTCGTTATTTCCTTATGAAATAGTCTCACAAATTCTGAGTTTTTCACTGTCAGCAAATTTCATTCCTTTATATTTATAGGTTTTCCTGGTATTTAACAAGGATACCTGCATTACCAAGGTAATAGGATTTTTAAAGTTGTTAATAACTCTAATAATAATAAAGTTCTAATATTTTCAAAGAGATACCAAATGCTCACATTTTAGCTTACCTTCGAAGGCTGTTCCCTTCATTGGGCCCTACCCACTACCTAGGAAGGGTGTATTTTCCCTGAGCCAACTCTTATCCATCCCTCCCGGCTCAATTTAATTATTTTCTCAGAAAGAACTATTTTGACCATTTAACCTAATTTAGGCTTCTATCCATGCTTCTTATCCTTTGGGGCTCTTTTCATAATCTCTGTGTTACTTTGTTTCAAGTTCTATTAGGGCAGGGACCATGTGGTGTGTTCATCAATCTACAATCAGCTCCTAGTCCTGCAGACCCAGGATTAGCATTGCAAAAAGAAGTGCTCTTTTGCTAAATGTATACATGGTATGAAAGAAATTAAACCACAGTTAGGACTTCCATAATCTGGTCCCACTGTATCTTTTCAATTATATTTGCTATTTGGGGTTAGTTGACTGTTCCCTGTGGAGGTCTTTGGCTCCCTCTCTGAGATAAATCTTTCCTAGTTTTCAAAATTCAGCTCAAAACCCATCTACCCTAAGAGCCTTGGCCAAGACATTCCATATCCAGACTCGCTTCTAAGATTCACATAGCACTTGCTTACCAGACTGCTTAATCCAGCCTTTATCATAAACCACTTTGCAGGGTTTATTTATTGTTCTTGCAGGTAGGTCTTCGTCCTCATCTAGAATCGTACTGTATAATACAGTAGTCACTAGGCATATGTGACCATTATGCATAAATCAATTAAGATTCAATAAAATTTAAAACTCATTTCCTCATTTGCATTAGCCACATTTTAAGCACTCAATAGTGCTATGTGGCTCATAGCTATAATAATGGGCAGAACAGATACAGAACATTTCTATCATCATAGATATTTTTGTGTCTTGAGTATAACTGTTTTATACTCCTTCATATTCTACTCTGTGAAGATGGTACCTACAGCACCTCGTAAACAGTGGGAGTTCAATAAATATTTAAGAGTAATAAAAAATAACCCGCTGGAGATCTTTGACATGACCCTAATTCCATTGTAAACAGTTGTCTTCTACTTTTGCATAGGCTCTATACATTAATTTAATATCAGTCCCGGGGTCAAGCCTTCAGTTGTTTTTCCATTAGTAGTCTCTAAGAGTCTACCACAAAAACAACATTCCTATGGTATTTTTCAGTTCATGAAGTGTTTCATATTCACCATTCATAAATTTTTTAAAGGAACACAGGAATTCAGGTAAAGCCTAATATTTACCCAGTGGCAACTAAGTGCCCAATATTGTGTAAGGTAATTTTCCTGTGTTCTCATCAGCCTCACTAGATCAAGAGGAAACTGAGGCTCACAGAAGGTAACCTATCTATAACTACCACTAACAAAATCCACTTATAAACTACTGTAGTTTTCACTGTAGTTTTGACTCCTCCTGGCTAGAGATCTCCACAAAGTCAATGGAATTGATGTTGACTAATAAAATTGCAATCTATCTTGTGTTTGGAGAAAAAGAAAATCAAAAAGTAAAGAATAAAAACCTTTCATTTTTAATACTGAAAACTGTAATTAGGTACTAACTTTCAAGGTAAACAATGCTTCCCCTCCCCCTTTTAACTAAAAATATAGACTTTTGGGGGAGGGGGAACTAGATTTGGGAAGAAGTATGGACAATTTTGAAAATCCAAATAATAAGACATTTTAAAGGATGTATAGTAATATAATTGAAAATATTATTATTGCAGGAAATATGTACTAAAATATATCTAAAGACTATTATTGAACAATGAGTTAAGCTATTTAATTTTTCAGCCCTATATTATAAATCATTATTTCAAATGCCCATCTTATTTCATACTTTTAAATCTTCAATGATCCAAATGCTTAAGCATAAATGATGCACTGACTGAGTACATCTGTGAGATTTCACCATATGAATATGATTAAAGAAGATATTAAAATCCTTTATAAGTTTCAATCAATGTGATCCAGAAGAATTGGGATGTGTTCCAAACAGCATTATGTCAACCTGCCAAGCCAATGAGCACTCAATCTGTTTCTTCAAGTATAAAATACTGATGCTTTTCTAATCTACCTCAAAGGCAAGAAACTAAGATGATACTGTACTTATTAGATTAGACTTCTAACTTTTGTTATAATTTCTTCAAGAAAAATAATACCAATGATGAGGAAACAGTCCCTTCATTTGTATGGCTTTTTCTTTTTTTTTTTCTTTTTTGGATGATGTCTCTCATTTGCACTAAAGCTCCATTTCTGAAAAAGGGACAGAAAGACTGATATCCAAGGCATCAAAGCATTCTTTACAAGGCCCAGTACCCACTATGGTTACTGCCAAGAAATCATTCCAAACACTCATTCTGAAAGTGTCCGCAGTCACAAGGGGAAAGGAAGTGGGCACTGTCAGAGGTGGCCAGTGTGTTTTGAGGCCGGCCGTGTTTTGTTTTTAATGAGGCACAGTTGCAGTTCTCCAACAGTGTGCCACAAGAGAGCAAGGCATCTGAGGGCTTCTCAATTCTTTCATAAGCATCATCTTGAAGGAAGAGAACACTTCATGTTGGTGTGAGGTTTGGCACCTCTTTTAGGCAAAAAAAAAAGGCTTAAGGGCTTAGACCACTTGGGAAGAGTAACTCGTGTGGTTCTAGTTTAAAGAATAAAATATAAAACATAAGAGATAAAGTGAAAGTAACACAAAACTGGATTCTATGTTTCTTTTGTGGATGAGAGATGGAGAAAGAGCTCCACTCCTGCTTCTCCCTTCTTTTGTAAAATGTAGCTCTCTTTCTCTCTCTCAACAGCTTCCTTTTCACATGCTACATCCAAGCAGAAGTGCCATCGTTTCTCCTGGTATCTTCCCAGAGCACTGTACTCCCAAGCAAAACGGAAAGGAAGCAGGGAAGATACAGTGTGGTGTTCTCCTTAACTAGGGCACCAGGGTCTGGATTAAAAAACAAATAAATAAATTGGCTCCCTGTTACTATGGTCCAGCTACGGCTAAAAAGTGTCGAGGTTTCATCTACTTTAGACTCATCCTGTGCGCCTACAGAAGCTAAACTCTTGAAAATGCTCTTGTTCACCTTCAAAACAAAATGTTTGGTCCGAGTCCCTGCACACAACCTTGGGACGAGGGAAGCCGAACAGGCAAAAGCGGCCTCAAACTTCCTTTGATTGGTAAACGGAGAGGGGTCCGGGTCCATTGGGGATCCGATGATAGGCAATCGCCCTCTCACCAGCGACCGGGGTGAACCTGCAGAGATGTGTTTACGAAGCACATAGACTCACATCGCGTGTGTGTGTCCGCGCAGCCTTCCTAACTGATGGAGGATGTGGACGCCCGGAGGAAGTCTTCCCAGTTTCCTGAACTCCCGGGAAAGGACAGGGGGGACGGCGGGAGCAGGAGAGCGGAACACACTCGCTCCCTTTGACTTTCCGAGGTCACTTCCAGGGACTCTCCCGATCGCGGTGCCGGCGGCGGGGAGGGGGCCCCGCGGAGGCCGGCAGCGATCCGGCCGCGACCTGGCTCCGTCCCCTCCACCGAGTGGCGCGCCGGGCCCCGCCGCCCTCCAGCCGCCGCCGCCGCCGCCGCCGCCGCCGCCCGAGGTCGGCTCCGGCCCCGGTCCCGCCCCCGACGACGACCCCCGGGCACCGCGGCCACGCCGGCGCGCGACTCACATGTGCGGGTTCCTCCGGAAGGCGTTGGTGATGTCCTTCACCACCCGCTGCACCAGCACCGCCACCTCCTCGCTCGTCTCGGCCATGTTGGCGGCCGGGCGGCTCGGGAGCGCCTCCGGGACAGGACAGCGCAGCGCGACCGGCGGGGTTCCGCGGGGAGAGAGCGTGCGCGCCCGTTTGGCGGAGCTCCCGCCTCCGCCCCTGCCGCCGCCGCCGCCGCCGAGAACTTCCGGGTCACCCGCCGGTGGCCGGGGCGTGGCGCCCGCTGGGACTGGAGCGGCCTGATGGGTAGGGCCCTCACTTCCTCTCCTTGTCCCTAATCTTGTCAGAATCCCAGAAGATGCTGCAGTCAATTGCAGGTTTCTGTTTTTTATTATTATTATTTTTTATTATTATTATTATTTTTTTTTTTTATTTCTATCCAGTAGGGGCTGAGGAGTAAGTGGTCCTTAAGTCATTTCCCCCCCTATCATCCCTAGTCCCCCACAACTTTGATTCGTAAGGAGTTGCCAGGCCCCGGGAGTCCCCGGAGGGAAGTTTCCTGGCAGGTAGTAGCTGTGGGAGCTTGTTTGCTTTATTTTTCCAGCTATAGGGAGGAGGCCTCCAGAGACGCTCCTGGCGGAATGAGTGTCCCAATTGGACCTTGTTGGGGACTTCCTTTTCCTGCGTGCCAATTTGGGCCTCTGGAGCAGCCATTCTCAATCATTAATTTAAAAAAAAAAATTAACGAATGCATTAAAGGAAGGCATAGAAAAGAAAAGGAAAAGTTCTTTGGCACCTGGATATAAGAAGTAGGAGTTCAGGACTGAAGTATTTTTTAGATTTTCTGCGGAGTGTATGGTGGGCCCTTCCTACCTGCCACAGATCCAACCAACTTTGGATGGAAAAGATGAGGGGGAAAAAGTTAGAGTACTGTGTCATTAAGCCCAGGATGGCTGGTTCTATATTGAACATCTTGTCATTACTCCCTGAACAATACAGTGTAACAACCGTTTATATAGCATTTACATTGTATCGGGTAATCGAAGTAACGTAGAGATGATTTAAAGTAGTATATGGGAGATGGGCATTATATTCAAATACGACTCCACTTTTACAAGAGATTTGAGCATCTGTGGGTTTTGGTATCCATTGGGATCATGGAATCAGCCTCCTGCCCAGACCAAGAGACAACTGTACTTCATTTCCCGCAAGATTTGGAGTCCTCTGAACATTACCTTAGTTTTGGTATGAGGAAATCAAGGCCCTAATAGAGTTTGCTTTTGTAACTATCTTGCTACAAATAATTTTTGTAGGAAAAAGAGGATTTCCAGTTAATTTGGAATTTGAAATCCACAATTCAAATATTACACATCAGATTTTCCTTCATCCTTCTATAATAGAAAAAAACTTGACTGCTTTCAAGTTTTTGTTTAATCCTTGAAATCTGTATTTTTTTTTTTTTTTAAGAAAAGCAGGCTTATTGTCTGTTTAGTATAAAGATATGTGGAGCATTTGAAATAGGGTTGATTGCCAAATAATAATTTTGGATGCAAAATTATAAAGCATTGAATGAGAAATATAAATTAACTATATCCAATGGTTAACACTCCCTGTAGGTATATTTATAAAGGATAGAACTGCTGTATAGTATAGACATTGGCCTTATGTTTTTAATAGAAACAAGCTGGAATATTGACAAAATTATAAAAAAGCAAGATGGGACAGGTTTTAGTTTATAAATCAAAAACTCTTAACCTCTTCACACTTCTCAGAGGAGGTAGTGCAGTGAGTGAATGTGTGTTTAGATTCCAAAGCCCAAGGACAACTTCAAATATCTTAGTTACTCTAAGAATATGATACAAATTCTCAAATGTTTGAGTTAACTGATATCTTCTTTCTCTTCACTTAAAGCCTTGCATCTTTTCCTAAAAAAAAAAGTAATTCAAATAATAAATCCTGACTTCTAGGGGACAAAGCTCAAAGCAGCACACTGAGAAATATACTTTTTTTTTCCCCCAAAAAACTTTATTTTTTATCTTAAAAATTGATCATTTTGTATCTCACTCTAATATATTTGACAGGGGAAAAACCCAAACTTTGTCCCTAAATGCTGAAGTAAAATTGATATCCCAGAAAGATAATTCCTTATGGTTCTGTGTATTCCTCCCCTCATACACATATATGAGCACACACCCTCTTTATGCTCATTTGAAAGGCATGAATTGTGTTCCACATTTTCTTCTAAAAGTTAACAAATTGTTTTACTCACTTATTAAGGATCTACTGTATTTATAACTCAAGGTTTTTAGAATTGGAGAATATTAGAACTGATCCAAACCCAGAAAAAGCAAACTGAGGTTGAAAGAGGTTAAGAATTGAAATTCATAATACTTTTAGTAATATATAAGAATATGATATTCAATAAATTTAGCAAGATTTTCTTGAAGGACTCAAACATTTATGTTCAGGAATCTACAAAATACATTTATTGATAATAATGAAATATTGCAAATAGCTTGAATGCCCAACAGTAGATATTGATTAAGTTATAATAAATCTATTTGATGAGATATTGTTTAGTCATAAAAGCACATTCTAGCCAGAAGAATATATTACCTAACTCTTAGGGGAAGGTATATTTGTAGGATAATTTTACTTTCTAAGTAATTCAAAGAACAAATTATAATTTTTGTAACTTAAGAAAAGTTTAAAAATGTATGTTAATAAAGACATGGATGCCGAGACCGGTTTGGCTCAGTGGATAGAGCGTCAGCCTGCAGACTGAAAGGTCCCAGGTTCGATTCCAGTCAAGGACATGTACCTTGTTTGCGGGCACATCCCCTGTAGGGGGTGTGCAAGACGCAGCTGATTGGTGTTTCTCTCTCATTGATATTCCTAACTCTCTATCCCTCTCTCTTCCTCTCTATAAGAAATCAATAAAAAATATATTTAAAAAAACATGGATGTATTTATTTGTTAATTAGCCAACTGTCTCATTTTATTTATTTATTTACTTATTTATTTATATGATTTAAGGAGAGGAAGGGGCAAAGAGAGAAAGAGAAAGAAACATCAATGTGAGAGAGAACTATCAATCAGTTGCTTCCCACATGTGCCCTGATTGGAGATCAAACCCACAACCTGGATATGTGACCTGATGGGAATCAAACCCACTACCCTTTGGTGTATGGGACGATGCTCTAACCAATTGAGCCATACTGGCCAAAGAACCAACTATCTCATACATACTAATTTTTTTTAGAGGTGGATTGACTTCAAGTTGACCATGCCTATAATTATTGTTCACATAGCTGTGAATGCGTTTTGGCAATCCTTCCACATCTCCCCCAAATCATGCTTTTCATATTTTAGAAGACTATTTGATGTTAGGGGAAAGGTAGATATGAAATGACAAAAACAAGTACCAAAACAGCATATAAGATAATCCTCATACATACAAAATGAATTGTACATAGTAATATAAAATTAAACTAAAATGTTAACAATGGCTATATCTGTATGATGAAATTAATTACTGGAGCTAAGTAAGACCTATAAATATGCATTCTTTATATTCTTCTGGATGTTCCAGACTTTCTGCAATAAAACTCAATGTATGTGTTTAGAGCCCTAGTGGGAAGGAAGATACCAAAGTGGTTTTAATAACAAGCGCTTCATCCTTTTGTGAAGAGTTGGAGATGACTTTATAATCTGTTTGCATCTTCACTCTATATCATTCTCCTTATATCACTATATTGTGTTGTTTATTTACTCCATCTATTTGAATTGAATATCATAATAACACAGGTGGGACAAAAGTTGGTCTATAGTCATGAGTATGCGAAAAAGTTTATTCTTACATTATTATTTACTAGAGGCCGGGTGCATGAGATTCATGCACTGGAGGAAGGGGGTGTCCCTCAATCTGGCTTGCACCCTCTCACAGTCTGGGAGCCCTTGTGAGATATCCGACTGCCGGCTTAGGCCTGCTCAGGTAGCAGGTCTAAACCATCAACCAGACATCCTTAGCACTGCTGTGGAGATAGGAGAGGCTCTCACCACTGCCTCTGCACTCTCCAGCCATGAGCCTGGCTTCTGGTTGAGCGGGGCTCCCCCTGTGGGAGTGCACTGACCACCTGGGGACAGCTGTGTCTGCTCCCTGGTGGTCAGTGTGCATCATAGAGACAGGTCATTCTGCCATTCAGTTGATTTATATATTACCCTTTTATTATATAGGATTAACTATTGTATTATTTTCTTTTTTTAAAAAATACATTTTTATTGATTTCAGAGAGGAAGAGAGAGAAACATTAATGATGAAAGAGAATCATGGATTGGCTGCCTCCTGCATGCCCCACTTTGGGGATTGGCCTGCAACCTGAGCATCCGCCCTGACTGGGAATTGAACCATAACCTCCTGGTTCATAGGTCAAAGCTCAACTATTGAGCCATGCCAGCTGGGTTATTGTATTACTTTCATGTGAACAATAGTAAACCTATGTTTGCCCTACCCTGTATTATGTAAGAGAGACTTTAAGTAATACTAAACACATGCTTACTGTATACTATTATTATAAAAACACCAAGCTTATTTTCCCATTAAAAAGATTAATTGCTCAATTTTCAGTGCTTCATTATTATATTGATGTTGTGATTAGCTATATACTTATAGTATGCCAAGCCTCAAACTGATAACTTTTCTAAAATTTAAAATAAAAAAACTTACTAACAAAGTAATAGGAGAAGGAAAATATAGTACTAATCAAGAAGCCAAAATATAGTACTAATCAGTGTTTTCTTTAAAAATATATTTTATTGAGTTTTCACAGAGAGGAAGAGAGAGAGGGATAGAAAGCCAGAAACATCGATGAGAGAGAAACATCGACCAGCTGCCTCCTGCACACCCCCTAGGGGATGTGCCTGCAACCAAGGTATATGCCCTTGACCAGAATCAAACCCAGGACCCCTCAGTCCGCAGGCTGATGCTCTGTCAACTTGAACCAAAACAGTTCCGGCTATCAGTGTTTTTTAAAATGAAATCTTAAGTCAACAGAAATAATGTCACATTCAAAGTTTTTATTAAAGACCATCTCAGGAAAAGGAA